TATTATTAAATATACTTTTATGTACACATGTAGTTTTACATATTTAACAAATTTTTTTAATAAGACGAACGATCAAACATGTGTTAAAAAATCAACGGTGTCAAATATTTTGAAACGGAGCGAGTAGTGTGCACGCACACATGCACAGGTGGTTGGGTGGGTAATGAGTAATGTTCTCTTCTGCTGCCGGATCTGCCGTATCCAAATCATTGTACGATTGTGGCAATACACGTAGTACTAATGATTGTGTAATTTTATTACGGTAAGATTGTGTAATTTACTTATGGACATTATGAGTGTACCATGATTAAAGAAAAAATTAATAATTTGCTAGCGAATAATTGCTAGCGCAATTAGAGAGAGAAAATTTTTAAAAAACAAGAACACACCTAGGGCCAAAAAGTTTCTAACCTACCGCTGGAGTGAAAGATGAAATATGATACTCTATCCGTACTATAATATAAGAAGTTTTAAAGTTGGATACAGTTGTTAAGAAAATAAGTAAAAATGAACAGTGTAAGGTTATAATTGAATGAGTAGTGGAGGTAGGGGAAAAGTGAATGGTGGAAAGTTATAATTGGTTGGGAAGAGAATGCTGGTGGAAAAGTTGTTATATTTTGGGACAAATCCTGATAGCTATAAGTTGTTATATTTTGGGATGGAGGGAGTACATGCCAGTAATGTAATTGAGGTGATGATAAATTTAGAGTTGTATAATTTTCAAATTTTCACTTCAACACAATGTTAGAAGCATGTGGCCATAGGTGCATATTCTTATCCGTTTGAAGAATTGCTCTTTTCAATTGGGTCAAAAGTGTCATTCGTCCAATTACCAATTTTTTAAGTGCCTTCTAGCTGTAACACATTTTTACGATATCAACTAGCAAACTATATAAATTTTATATGTTCTATAGTAGAATTTGGCAATAACTAATCAAACCATAACATAGATTTTTTTTTCTAATAGATACTGCTTCTTAAAAAACAATTTTCTCATTGCACAGGTTCCATTTCTATTAATGGGCTCTAAGAAAACACGCTCGCAATAATGGTTGGGGTCATGTGATCTAAATGCCACGTGTAAAAACTATATATGGGACTGGTGAGATGTTATTAAGGATGTGTTTGGATGGAGGGATTTGGGTGGATAGAACATGGTGGCCTATTTTTTTGGGTGTTTGGTTGGTGGGCGGGAGTGGGATAGGGCGGCCCGGAGGGGAATATTCCCTTCAGATGCCGGATAGTGGAATCCGGCCAATTTGGCCGGATGGAGCCGCCCGAGGACTAGGGCGAGCGACGATGTGGGTTGCGTCACCCCTCTCACCATGGGAGAACGACGACGACGACGTGAGGGAGGCAGTGGGATGCGAGCTCGGCCGGCGCGGGAAGAGGGGACGGTGGCGCAACGGGAAGAGGTCCGCTGCCGCCGACCAGGACGACGACTGGCGGGAGAGAAGGCGGGGCGGTGAGCCTTAGCGCTCGAGGCGGCGACTAGATCTGGATGACGACGGCGACCGACTGGGACGACGACTGAGACGACAATTTGGAGACAAGGCGGCGACCAACGGGAGAAGAGGCGGGCCGGCGGGTGGGAGAGGAGGCGCAGCGGCGGTCGGTGAAGAAGACTTTTTTTTTCTTTTTCTTCCGTTTTTATTTATTTCTATCTTTTTATTTCTATTCAGATTTTTTTTATTGTAGTAGATTGATATTTTTTTGGTTTGGTGAATTTTAAGGGAGGTATACTCACCACCTCTAATGAAAGGGTGATTGTAACCACTTATTAACGACCAAATTTGGTAATTCAAGAATCGGAGATGAAGAAGAAACCGAGATGGAATTTGAGATGGAAATCGTCCCGGAAACAGAGTAAGGATCGGCTGAAGTCCGAATCGGCTGCGACTAGGGTCGACAGAGATCGAGTCAAACAGGGTTAGCCGATTGAGCCGAATCCGACAATGTGACACGACATACATTGTCGGGTTAGGTTGACGTGCTTCAAGATGATTGCCATGCATGGATAGAGTCCTGAGAAGGCGATTGTATCTATTAATTAGGATATTTCATGTAATTTCCTTAGAGATATGTTTGGGCAAAAGTCTGCCGCAAAGACTTATGGTATCTTAGAGTTTGTTAGAGATAATAGTCGTGTCCGATATGGACATATCTTGTAATTTTCGGGTATAAATAGACCCGAACCCTATGTAATCAAACTAACACACGTTCAATATAATCTCGGCGCATCGCCACCCTTTTTGCTTTCGTTTTATTTCGACGAGTTCTTACTTTCGGGTTGAGCTGCATCGGTTTCGATCTTCAACAAGAGGTAAAACTTGTTATGACGGCTTGCGTTCTCGGGATTAGTTCTTCCATCTTTATGATACTCTAATCTTGCTTATGTAATTCGTCGAGTTATCATATATCTTATATAATCTCTGGCAATATTGCTATCTAACCTACAATGGGCTAACATCTATCAATAGAAGGCAGCCGATTAAGTTAAATATCAACGTTGGCTTAAATTATATATGATATCTACCACTCTATGAAACTTCCCATGGCTTGATTGTCTAGATATTGTCCTTCTTTTTATACTTATAGCTGCATCAGTTGAGTTTGATCTTATGAGTCGTGATTAGAATCTCAATCTCTAGCCTGCTTCTTGGTTGCCGATTAGGGTAGTATCGGGGTTTCAGCCGATCTTACCTGATTTAACTATATTTGTTTTATATGCTTTATTGATATATTAAATCCGCCTTTTATGTTAATATCTTGTTGCATTTAAGTATATTGGGCTCTTCGTTTGGTATATTCTACTTGCTTTGATATCTTAATATAGAGTGGTATCGGAGTATTAGCCGATACATGTTAGATCTATCTGATCGGCTATGCTATGAACGTATATAGTCTCATTGTTAGTATATACTTCGATCTAAGTGATTTATACTGTCTCGGCATGGCGACCGATTTATCCCAATCACTTGATTTAAGTATATATCAACATAAAGATTATATATCATTGGTATCTACAGCCGATCGAGTAGATTTAGTTCTTTTTTTTCTATTTGTGACTGTCGATCGATGCATATATGACATCAGCTCAAAGATAAATGATATGTCATCGGCACCTAGCCGATCGGCTATCATTTATGGATTTAACCACGGTTTCTTTGTCTTTGTTTCTTGTTGATTGCAGGATCAAATCAACTGGCACGCTAGCATACCCGAAGGCGAGTTTTGGACCTGCACTGGAGTTAAGCAGATCTCCCAAGCCTCGTGTTTTCACATCAACACCACTCATCCATCCTACTCCTCCAACTAAACAAAAAAAATAGATCACCAAATCCACCTCTATCCATACAACCAAACAAAAAACTAGATTGTCATATTCACTCTACCAAACAAAAAACTGGATCGCCATATCCAATAAAATATGGATTGCCATGTCCCATCCAACCTTGACCGGGAACCAAACACACCCTAAAATAGTGGCGGGCCGGCTGAGGGACTTAAGTCCCCTCTCCTCTCCTCCCTCTCCCCTTATCTCACCGTTATGCCTGCCCTCTCCTTCTCTGCTATCTCCTAGCTGTGTTGGCAAGAGCTGGTTTCCAACCAAATAGTATGCACGAAAAACGGAGCGGTCCATTAGTACTATGATTAATTAAGTATTTGCTATTTTTTTAAAAAAATGGATCAATATGATTTTTTTTTTAGAAATTTTGTATAGAAACTTTTTTAAAAAACACATCGTTTAGCAGTTTGAAGAAACGTACGCGCGGAAAACTAGACTAGGGAGTTGGATCCAGCTCTTGCAAATATAGCCATAGACATGTCGCCACCGTCGTTGACCACTCCCCTTGCACCGTCATGCTTGTTTGCTCAATCAGACGCTATGGAGAGCCCCAAGTCCAATGCTTCAAATTCAGCAGTGGATCCGATACCGGTTACATCCACGGTCTCAGGAGGGACCGATATGGCGTGTCAATGATTTTTGTTTCTTGGATTTGGGGAGTTTGTGTGAATTTTGTCAATGTTTTTTTTAAAACTGACTGTGTATGTTGAATGTGAATTTGATGTGTACTAAATCTGATTGTAGGCTGTGATTGGATTTGTTTTCGGTTTTTTACACCAAAAATCGTTGACTAGTTGGTCTTAACCTAGTCATATGTGAAGATCAATTTTCACATACCGCTGTCTTAAAAAAATCCTCCGTAAAAATGATGATTTTTATGGACCTTTTATTAGAAGAGGTCGTCCGAACCGTGCCTCTCAGTCGATTAATCGATTTTAGCCGCCTGTTTAAAAACCGTTTTTTATAGTGAACCTTAACTAACGCGTGCGCTCATACAAACACAGCTACGACATACCTAACTGCTCTAGAACGCAGGTATACGTGCCCCGCCATTAGCAAGTCACACGAATAGTATAAGCAACCTAGGTCTCTTTCTTTTCTCCGATAAGAGTTAGATAAAGATTAAGATTTTCGTGCCGCGCTTTTCAACTGTGAAAACTTTCTATATGAAAGTTGCTCTAAAATATAATATTAATCTATTTTTTAAGTTTGTAATAATTAAAACTCAATCAATCATACGTTAATACCATCTCATTTTACGTAAAAAAATTTAATCTTTCATCTTCAGAAGAAAAGAACACCACCGTAGCCATCCATTTCGCCATATATAGATTGCTCTTTCATTTCCCGATCGGTTGATTAATTTCGCATGCGTCGCCTTTTGAAATACTATGCAAATTATGGATGCATGTTTGCAATTGGGCCGGCACGAGTTAAGAAGAAAAATGGGCAAACTAGTACTGGTGCATACACAGTGGGTTTGAGAATGACATGGACGCTTCTAATATTTCCGGGCCCTTTTTACACATGGGCGCCCACGTGGCCTTCCAAACGCGCTCAATCCAATCATCCAAACCGAAAAATAAAAAACCCAAACTTTTTTATGCAGTAGTAGTAATTTTCAGAAGAAAGAATGAAAATAAAGGAAAAAGGCTAGCAGAATTGGCTTGGCTCGTCAAACCTTTGGAGTGCGTCCGCGTGTGCGAGCTGCGCCCGTGTGATGTGGGCGGGTGGGTGTTCGTGTCTCCGCTTGTCTCCCCGCGGCGCCCTCCTCAAATATTCTCAACTCCCCAACCAATTCATTCCCCCGAGCTGAGCTGAGCTCTCATTCCTTCCTTCTCCTTTCCGCCGGCCTCGCCTCTCGTCTCCTCCTCTCCCCTACCGATACGCACGCTCGCTTGCTTGCACCTCGCGCGCGAGAGACGAGAGAGAGACGGCGAGCCCTGGCACGCACGAGAAGCGAATCGAAGTGGCGGCGACAGGAGCAGCTGCTGCTGGTGGATTATCCGTCGTCAACATGGCTCAGGAGGACGTCGGTCACCTGAGCGACGCCGGCCTGGCGCTGGGCCTGTCCCTCGGCGGGGGAGGAGGAGGGACGACCGACGCGGCGGCGGCGCACCGTGGCGGCTGCCGGCGGCCGTCGCCGTCGTCGCAGTGCCCGCCGCTGGAGCCGTCGCTGACCCTGAGCTTGCCCGACGACGCGGCGGCCGGCGCGGCCGCGACCGCGACCGCGACCGCGTCCGGCGGGGGCGGCCCTGCGCACAGCGTGTCGTCGCTGTCCGTCGGCGCGGCGGCGGCGGCGGCCGTGAAGAGGGAGCGCGCGGAGGAGGCCGACGGCGAGAGGGTGTCGTCGACGGCGGCCGGGCGTGACGACGACGACGACGGGAGCACCCGCAAGAAGCTCCGGCTGACCAAGGAGCAGTCCGCGCTCCTGGAGGACCGCTTCCGGGAGCACAGCACGCTCAACCCGGTACGTCACGTACGTCCGCGCGTTCTCCTTACGTTCTATTGACTTGCCGCCGCTTAGCCTAGCTGCAGAAAGCTGCACTTGTAGTAGAACACAAGGAGCAAATTAAGATAAAAACATGGCGCATATTAATTTGTGTTTTGTTCATCTTTTTTGATCGAATATATATGGGTCACTGAACCACCGCTTTTGTTTTGTTTCTTCGAGCAGAAGCAGAAAGTCGCTTTAGCGAAGCAACTGAACCTCAGGCCAAGGCAGGTGGAGGTCTGGTTCCAAAACAGAAGAGCAAGGTTAGTATTTTTCATTTTTCGCGACTTTTCTTTCCTCTTCGAGACCAGTATTTTGCAACATGTACACGCGCCAGTGGGCACATATTTGCATCACGTATATATACATATCCTACTACTTTTATCTCAGCAAGAACCTTCAGCGTCGCTTTTCCTTTACGTAATTCAATCATGCATGCATGAGACAAGGATTATGATTATCTCCGTGTGTAGAAAACTAGAAATATTTTGAGAGTGCAGTGCAGTTTGTGGCTGTGGTTGATAACCATTTATCGATCGGTTCGTTTACACGCGTATACTACTACTCCATGCAGGACAAAGCTGAAGCAGACGGAGGTGGACTGCGAGTTCCTGAAGCGCTGCTGCGAGACGCTCACCGAGGAGAACCGTCGGCTGCAGCGCGAGCTGCAGGAGCTCCGCGCGCTCAAGTTCGCCCCGCCGCCGCCGTCCTCGGCGGCCCACCAGCCGTCGCCGGCGCCACCGGCGCCGTTCTACATGCAACTCCCGGCCGCCACGCTCACCATCTGCCCGTCCTGCGAGCGCGTCGGCGGGCCCGCGTCCGCCGCCAAGGTCGTCGCCGCCGACGGGACCAAGGCCGGCCCCGGCCGGACCACCACCCACCACTTCTTCAACCCCTTCACCCACTCCGCCGCCTGCTGATCCGATCCATCCATCCTCATGAATCTGCAGTTCGATCGATCGATCGATCTGCAACACCAAACAGACATAGCACTGCTGCTGACTGCTAGCTAAAGCTTAGTACTACCTCACGTCACAGGTAACATATACACGTGACATACATGGCGATTGGCGACATGATCATCATGCATCATCATCCTCTCCTTGAGCTACTGTTTCTTGCCCTGGGGGATTCCAGCTTCCATTAGCTAGACAGTCCATCTCAGTCAAATCAATCATAGGCTTAATGATAGGATTAGTCAAATTAATTATAGCCGGGCCACAGCTAGTACCCGATCAATGTATATTTTTGTGCATGCATGTAAGTATGTAACTGTGTGCCCCCCTCTCATCACTAGTTAGCTTTACTTTTCTTTTTTGTTTCACAGGCTAGTTAATTTTCAGAGGGGATCATCATGGGGCAGTGCAGTAGCTAGATAGATTAAGCTTGTATACTAGCACTACTGATGGATTAAAATTCTTAGATAGTGTCACACACGCACAGTGTTGGATCGGATGACGACATGAGCTAGCTTAGCTAGCATGCCTGCCTCCCTCCTGTTCGCTCGGCCCTGTCGGGTGCGTGTACATGTGTTTACTTTTGTATGGATATACGTCTCAATGATTGTGTGTGTCGGGGCTCCCCAACTTCAAAAATTTATTGAGTTGCCATCGCTTTCGCCTCTCTGCTGATTATTGGTTAATCAGGAAGAGAGAGCGGGACTTCGCCCTCTCGTCTCATCTTTTTGTTTGCTTAATTAGGACTTGAGAGCGGTAGCTAGCCATCTGGATCTCTGCTCTGCTGCACGCCATATTAATTAACCCAAGGCAATTTTAACACGTACGGCCACACCACCACTCGCGATCGACTCTTGCTGCGGGTACGTAGCACATACATGATCGGCCGGTTGCACGTACTGTTGGACACTGACGGTTTCCGTGCGATCATACTATAGTAGTAGCTAGTTCGTTGAGTAATTACTGCACTTAGGTATAGTCAGCGTCGAAGCTAGTTGCCCTTGCTAGCTCCTGCCTTCCTGGACTAACTAATTTACACAGGAAAATTATGCGGATGGTGTGTGTGATGAGGGATGGCACGACCAAATCATGACACGTAAAAAGGAGCTTCGCGTCGCGGCGTGGTAGTTAATATGGGAGGCATGCCAAGAAATATGAGCCGGGCGGGGCTTGGCTGGCATGGCCGGCGCGGGAGCACGCACGCACGCATGCGCGCGTTCGATCGATCTCTCTCCTGGAAATTTAACCTGGCAGCCGAATTCCTTTTCTGACGGCTTGCTCTCTCTCTCTCTCTCTCTCTCTCTCTCTCTCTCTCGCTGCGCGCTGCGCGGCGGCATCTGGCACGTACTCTGGCCGTTGTGTTGGCTCTATAACCCTTTATAAATTGTGTGTTGCACGAAACAATATATCGATGACGATAGTATATATCGAGGATCAATCATGCATGTAGCATGCGTTGGCGCTACAAACAAGCGAGACTTTGTTATCGTACACGTATATGATTGAGCTTAGCTCTTATTGGCTGATCTGGACGTTTGATGTCGCTTTGGCATCTCTAGTCTAGATCGAACTCCAGATAGTTCCCCGATCTCATAATTTTCTATTCTCCGTACAATATACTATACGACTAGTAGTAGTATATCACATATACCGGCAGCACCGGACTTGCACCAAAGCATCTGACGGGGGCCGGCCGGTTCCCCGTGAAGGCGATGAAACGGCCGGAGTGCGCGCGAGCGAGCCCAAACGAGAGTTTACGCCGGTCACACCGCGCGCGTGCATGCATGCACGTCCACATGCCTCCCGTCCCCGAGAGTTAAATGTGTCGCTCGCGCCTCCGCGACGCGTCGTCGCTCCTGTCCCCCGCGCGGCGCGCATCATGGCGACCTGCGCGCCCTCCTGTGAGTTCTGGACACCAGCGCCGCGTACGCGCATCGGCGCGTTTCGCCCCAGCGTCAGCAACAAAGGCCGGCACGTTCGCCCGAGCCTGTCCCGAGATCTGAGGCAACGATCTGACGAGGTCTGTACTAGCGCGCGGGTCGTTGGGCGGAGCGGCACATCGAGACGGGACCATCTCCTGTGCCTCTCTCTCTCTCTGTACTAGGCTGTGTCAGCCTCTCATCATTCGCGGCGGATTTACCTGTGGATACGCTCGCTGCGGCATGCCCACATGACGTGCCTCACGCAATCATTGGCCATCAGGATTGGGCTCAGCCCTCGGGACCTCAGGCTTTGTGGGATACGTACTTTCCGTACCTATCTTTCTCGCATCGTGCGTGCGTGACAATTTATTCGTTTCGGGGTAGTAGTTGTACAATCAAACGATCCTAATTCTACGTACCGAGCTGCACATGAAATTGGATGAGATCGAATATGATATGGAGCGTACCTACCGGCCGGCGATAGGAATATTGTTTCTGGATTAAAACTGCCCTCTGTACTGTCATCTCAGGATTGATTTGAGGGCACCAACGGGCGGTTTGCAGGAGAGGAATACAATGCAGGAGATCTACCCGTAGATTTCCGTCTCGCTTCTGCCAACATTATCCTCAGGCTTTTTTTGATGATTTTATATTTAGATCGTCACTGTTCATTTGCGATGTGGAGAGATTTGCTTTCTGCCCGCACGTCAGGTCAATCAGATGAGATATGGAATATATCCGCAGGGAATTGGAACCTTGGCTGACGACAATGTTCTCTCGTTGCCAACGTCCTCTGCTTTCCCACGAGAGAACACCAAGGTTCAGAAAACAAAAGGAATTGCATGTGTTTTTTAGTCTTCGTCTAATCTCTAATGAACCGATCAAACGGTAATTTTTTATAATATATTTCTTTCGGTACCTGTCTACGCATAATGTGACCGCATGACACCATAACACAGCACGCAGAAACTTACGTTATGGTAATTTTTGGGTGGCATTAGTATGTGGTGCAGAGATACATGTCGTGAATCTGCCACGACCATACGACAAAGTGCGAGATAGCCTAATTGGGTCAAGTAATAAGTTTTCTAGATGAAGTAAAGTAAGTTCTTTGTTTATCTCAACTAAAGTAAGTTATAGTAGTCACACATCACGCGTCGTGGTAAAAGAAAATGAGTAGATCATCCGAGGCAAAGCGGGCATGGTGCCCCAGTCACGGCGGACAATTAATCCAAGCCGTCGATCATGTGATCCGCGGCCCAGAAGTCGCAAGCCCGTCGTGGGTCCGTCCTTCCACTGACAGATACTATTACACGTACAGTAGTAAATGCTCCGGAGCAATGCACGTGGGCGGCGAAAGCAAATCTAGTGCAGCAGAGAATTCGAATCATGGGGCCAAGCCAAGCCAAGCCAAGCCGAGGTAGGCAGAGGCAGGCAGGAGATCGAGTTGAGGTCCATAGAGATTCTGCACCGGCACGGCATCGGCATACGTACGCGGATCGCATCGCAGCTTCTCGATCGATCGAACGGACCAAAAGGAGCCCTGGAAACGAGGCCACGTTAGATCTCGACTAGATGGGCTGCGCGCTGGGCTCAGGTGACCATCTCCTGGGCTGATTTTCACCGAGAGGCCAGGGCCTTCCCTGCCGATCCCGTGAGCCGTGCGTGAGCGTGAATCTTCTTCCCTTCCGCCCGCCCATTCGTTCAGCGTGAGCATGTTTCCTCCTCGTGCAATGAATAGCTCATACGTTCGGCGTGAGACGCTCTCTCGATCGGTGGGTGGTCGGCCATCACGGGAGGCTAGTGTTGGTGGAGTACTCGCTTAGAATTGATGGGGGCGCAGGGCACCGTCACACCGGGCAGCGTCTTCGCGTACGTGGTTTGGCTCGGCCGCAGCACAACGATCGCGTACTAGGCGGGGACGCCTGCGCCCGTGTCTTCTGCGTGATTAGCCGGCTCCGGTGCAGGAGACGCCCCGCGCCGCGCGTTCGAGGTGCCGCGGCTGCAGCATTATTTTCGCCGCTGCACGGTGGAAGCCCAGCGGGTGTCGGTGGCGCCGCGAGGAACGGATGCGCCGTGCGAGGCGGGGAGGACGGAGGACAACGGTGGCACGGGGTGACGGGGCTTCGAGGAGAGTCGACATGTCCAACGGGCCCAGTTTGTCGACAGCCTAATGGGCTATATCATCACCACTGGCCTGGACATAGGAAGTGGGTCCGGCCCATGTACGGACTCCGGGAAGTCCCCGCCTACAGTACCGGCTACACGTTTTTTTTTTTTTTTATCATTCCGGCTACACGTTTAGCTTAAGATTTCAAGCGAACTAGGTGATCAAAGAAAGCTTGTAGTAGTACTAGATCACTAAGCTTAATCCTCTCTTTACGGCTTTACGGTCATCTAAAGTAGGGAGAGTAGAAAAAATGTGAGAGTGCAATCAACCCAGTCCTTTTCCGCGTCGTTGTAAAAAGTTCTACACAGTACCTTAACAGCGACATTTTTTTATCGACTATTAAAATCGAGAATCAAGTTTTCGTCCAGCCGTGCTAATATGTCACGTCCATGTCAGGCTGCGTCAAACACACAAAACTTCACACGGCAACGAGGCCCTCACATTTTTGTCCTAGGAATCTCCTGCGTTACAGCATCGCCGCTCGACCTCACGTAGCTGTAAAAGTGCGAGGCTTTGGCCTTGTTTAGTTGGGCGAAAGTTTGGGTTGTCACACCGATATACGAACACATATTTAAATTATTAAATACAATCTAATAATAAAATAAATTATAGATTCCACCAAAAAACGGTGAGTTGAATTTATTAAATCTAATTAATCTGTTATTAGCAAAATTTACTGTAACACAACATTGTTAAATTATAACGTAATTAAGCTTAAAAGATTTGTATCGCAATTTACACGTAATCTGTGTAACTGGTTTTTTTTACATTTAATATTTTTTATATATGTGTTCAAATATTTAATGTGACGGCCTAAAAAATTTTGCAATATAAACTAAACATGGCCATTGCACCATTCACTGCCCCGGGGATGTACCCTTTTCAGTTGCTGATGTGGAGACTAGACCGCAACCTTGTCATCGATCGATGTCAAGTGTGACTTGATGCCTTCAACCCATTCGTCTTTCTATTTTGTCTGCAGTGGAGGAAGCAGCCAAGAAGTGAGAGCTCGGGAAGCAGCCGTGAACCCCATGAACGGTCGAGTTAAGGCCAGCCGTATCATTCCCCCCAGGTCTTTGGGAACCACACGAGTACAGAACTGCTCAGATTTTGCTACTGTTTTATCACATTCCAGCCCCTTACTCCGAATGTGTAGGGGTACTCCGTAAGTGCTTACTGCTCAGCAAATACTCTTAAGTAGTACTCTCCGTCACACTCCCTTCATCTCAAATTGATCATATGTATTTATTCAGCAAGATTAAAAATAATTTAAATCGTATCAATCAAGACACAATGCACACAATCTCCCACAATACATGTATCGAATAAAACACTATGCCAATTATATCCTTGATATGCATATATTCTCCTTTGCTACATTAATTTTGTTCCGATGAAATCCGTATTTATACGGTTATATGATAATTAATTTGAGAAATTTTGAATTTAATATATGATGATCAATTTGGACAGAAGGTAGTAGCAACTTGAGTTATTGAATAATAAGAGGATCGACGTATCTACAAATGTTGGGAATACCTTCTTTCTAGCTAAGATTGTTCTTGTGTATGTGTTACGGATCCAAATGGTTTGACGTGTAAAGTGTGCGCGGTTATACTGCGTACAGTACAGTTAACAAGAGTGCTATTCGCTACATATTGGTAGAGACAGATTAATTAGCAAGTAATCCATGTCAACTCCACGCAAGCTCGACACGGATTCGTATCCTCTGACTTCCGTAGGATTAATGCATGTCACCGCGTGACATTCTTCCTATCTTAATGGATGAATAGTCAAAGTTGTCTTACAAATTTCATCTGATGCTCAGTTTAGTCCTTGATGTTTCAATCTATCCGTATTACTCCTTTAAGTTTTCAGTTTAGTTCGAACTTATCCTTTAACCAACAACTTTTTGATAAATGATACTTATACCCCCATCATTCACATATATAAGAGAAAAATTGCATGCTTAACTTTTTTTATAGATAATGCATAGTAAATTATGTAAAACAAAAATAAATTATGTACTATAAAGTGTATACGATAGCAATAGCTTAAGTTTCATGTGCACATGTTAAAATAATAGGAAGTACATCTGCACTGTTGTTTATTCATCTTGGTTTTCTATTTTCTATACAAATTAAGAGCAAAAGGGACATTTTCCAATGAAATATTAACTAGAAATAGCCATATGGCATATTAAGTGGGCCCAAGAATGATTTCAAGCCAAAACAAATATTTAGAGGAGCTATGTGGACAAAATGAAACGTGAAGGACCAAATTGAGCCTTCGGTAAAACTTGAGGGACTAAATTAGCCATTCACCCTAATTAATCCATCCATTTGAAATCAATGGCTGAGGATTAATTGACCCACAACGCCTTGACCTGTGATTCTGTGAAGTTAAATTCCCTAATACTCAACCATTGGTTTCAAATGGACGGATTAGATAGGGAGATCTCACGCGGTGATATTAATCCTACGAAAAGTCAGAGGATATGAATCCGCTGGACACAACCACTTGCTAATCTATGCATCACCAACAGTCTTGTTGATTGGCATGTTCGTCCACAGTCCAGTGGCAAACGCATGATTTTAGAGATATATAGAGGTACAGAGTAATAGAAAATTGTTTCACCGTAAAAACAAAAGCTTATCCGTCATAGAGAAATAAAAATTATTTGTGATGGATATATTTAGGCATCGTCTCTCTCCCCGCGTCGCTCTCGCGCGGGCGGCTCGGTGGGGTGAAAAACCCTAGCTGCCCACGCCTCTTCTCCATCCCTGGTCCTCGCCACCGCTGGAGCTCGCCGGCGGTGAAGCCGGCAGCGAGTAGGGAAGGCGGCGGTGAGGCCTTTTTCTTCGTGGTGTTTCCTTCCTCAGCGCGAACTGGACGGGACGAAGACGACAAAGTCCCCCACCAGCACGGTCCGAGGCGGCGGATCCGGCGCCCCCAAGGCCGGATCCGGCCATCCCCCACCTGGATCTGCGCGGCGGCGGCGCGAGGGCTTAGGGTGGCGCAGCGGCGTGCGGGCATGGTGGCGGCGGCATGTGGCCGGCGGCGAGACGGCAGGCAGCTGCGGCTCGGCCGGCCCGGCTCGGGCGCGGAGTCGGCGGCGGGCGGTGGCTCGGCGAGGCCGGCCCGGGCGCTAAAGCGGCGGACGGTCGCGGCTCGGCGACGGCTCGGCGTGGCCGACCCGCGCGCAGAGGCGGCGGTGGCGTGGCCGGCTGCCCAAGGCGGCAGCGGCAGCTCGGCAGCGGCGCCCCCGCTCAACCTGGCAGCGGCGGCTCGGCAGCGCGGCGGCGTGCGGGCGTGGTGGCAGCGGCTTTTGGCCGGGGGCGAGGCGGCTGGTTGTGGCTCGGCGAGGCCAGCCCGGGCGCTGTGGCGGCGGACGGCCGCAACTCGGCGTGGCCGACCCGCGCACGGAGGCGGCAGTGGTGTGCCCGGCTGGCAGCGCAGCCTGCCCGACGCGGCAGCAGCGGCTCGGTAGCAGCGCCCCAGCTCGACCTGGCCGCCCGGCAGCAGCCCAGGACGCAGCGACCGCCCCCTGTGCAAGGTAGGTCGTCCTCAGCGTCCAGACCTAGGTGACGGCTCGGCGTGGTGGCCGGGCAGCCGAGATGCCACCGCGGTGGCTAGGTGAGGCGCGCGGCCGGATAACGGGGCCAGTGGGTGGCGCCGGTCTGGAGCGGCACCGCCACCGGCGGCGAGATGGTAGTGCTAAGGGAGCTGGCGGCGGTGGGTTGTCTTCCTCGTTGCCGGTCGGCACCATCGCCCTTCCTGGAGCTCCTCCCCTTCTTTGCGGGGAGATTCTAGGTTGGATTGAGGCGGCAACTCGTCGGCGGGGGAAGCTCAGGCTGTCGAAGCAATGACACCTAGTCCTGGGTTCCTCTTTGGCAAAAACTGGCGAGGCGGCCGGCGGGTGGTGGAACAGAGGGGTCCTGGGCCAGCTCTCAGGGGTGGTGGTTCGATGAAGTCGGCCGACGGAGGGGCGTCAGTGCGGTGTGGTGGATGCTACATGCTGCCATTTGCCTGTGTGGTGGTTCTGAGTTGGTGGACAGCGACCTGCAGTCAAGGTTGTAGGATCCCAGGCGAAAGCCTAGTCCGGTGGTTCACTGGGCTACGTCTTCGGACGTCATAACCTCTTTGGGGCGTTGTCAAGGGTTACCCTTTCCCTTTCTCGACGAGCTTCTCTGGGTGAAAACCATATAAACCATATCTTTTTCAGATGGGCGATGGCGGCATCACTACTGTGTCTTGACGAGCTCTTCAAAGTGTGGTCAAGAAATATCAATTGAATCAACCATTAACTATTTGAAAGATGGGCTAGGAAAAGTGCATAACGTTTTTTTTTTTTGGAATATATGCAGTGTTGAACCGCTTAACGGGGTCATATGACCCAGGTAAATTATTCAATGATAACTACTTTATCCGTTTTATATTATAAGTCATTTGACTTTTTTAAAATTATTCGTGATTAATCAAATTTATAGAAAAAATAGTAACATCTACGACACAAAATTAGTTTTATTACATTTAAAATTGAATATATTTTGATAATATATTTGATATGTATTGAAAATATTATTATATTTTTTATAAGTTTGGTCAAACTTAAAAATAAGTTTGACAAAAAAAAGTCAAACGACTTGTAATAAGAAATAGAAAGAGTAATTTATATATCATGTTAATTAGTATATTAGATTTTATTAAAAATTTGGTACGTATAGGATTATGGTAGTTTTTTCTGGGTTCACCACTGATTTAATGTGAACAATCTCGATATTGAGAGTATGGCCAATGTGAACAATCTCGATATTGAGAGTATGGCCGTGTTTAAATACTGTAAAAATTTGGCTAAATTTTTTTTACGTATACGAAAATATATTTGAAGTATTAAATGTAGACTACTAACAAAACAAGATTCCGACTGTAAACTGCTAGACGAATCTTTTGAGCTTAATTAATCTGTCATTAGCAAATGTAGATTGCTGTAGCACTTATGGCTAATCATGATGTAATTAGGCTCAAAAGATTCGTCTCGTGATTTATAGTCGAACTGTGCAATTAGTATTTTTTTTTTCATATTTGATGCTCTATACATGTGTCCAAATATTTGATGTGACGGAAAAATTCAAAAATTTAAAGAAAAAAGTTAAAATCTAAACACAGCCTATAGCACAGCTGACTCACTGTTGCCTGTTGGTTTGTTGTCAGTAGCGCTAGGCGCTAGCTCCCTATCAGTCTATCGCAGTCGCAGGCACCAAGCTTTTCTGCTGCTTGGTGGTTGGTGCTCGACGCGAGCAGCGCCTGCATGGCCGCGCGTTGCAGTGGGGCGCACTGGCATTACCCTCAACGATTGAACCACAGCAAAGCATCAGGGTCAAGGAAAAGGATTCTGCCGAAGCTGTTTCATGGGTTGTACTACGATTCTAGGTTTATTAGGTCACGTACAATGGTAGCCACAAGCAATTATGGTCTCAAGACGTCAAGTAGGATAGAATCACACAAAGGTCACACTACCTACAGTGGAAACCACTCCAAAACGTATTTTGCATATCAGCCCCTATCTATTTATATGTCAGCCCTTGTATTATAAAACCTATTGAAACTTTATATTTTGAACCCTAGAGTAACCAAAAGAAGTATATGTACACCCCTAAACAACCTGGGACCCACTGTCAGTCTCTTCCCATCCCTCTCTTTTTTATTCCCCTCTCTCTCTCTTCGATTTTTCTCCACCGACAGCCGCATCGTGTCGCTCGGTTCTCTTCTCCTCTCCCCTCCCCTCGCCGGTTTCTCCCCTCCCCTCTCCGGCGCGAGGTCGACGGCGGGGAGCAGCGGTGGCGACGGGTCTGGCGGCGGCGAGGAGCAGCAGTGGAGGCGGATCTGGCGGCGAGGAGCTCGCCGGCTGCTCCCCTCCCCTCCGGCGCGGGCTCGCCGGCTGCTCCCCTCCCCTCTCGAGCGCGAGCTCGCCGGCTGCTCCCCTCCTCTCTCCGGCACGAGCTCGGCGGCGGGGAGTAGCGGTGGCGCCGGATCTGGCGGCGGGGAGCTCGCCGACTGCTCCCCTCCCCTCTCCGGGGCGAGCTCGGTGGCAGGGAGCACCGGTGGCGCCGGATCTGGCGACGACGACGACCACGACGACGACCATGGCGGCTGCGTTGATCTGGCAGCGACGACGACCATGGCGGTGGCAGCAGATTTGGTGGCGACGACGACCATGACGAGATGGGGATTTGGGGCAGTTGCACGGGGGTCCGGACGAGGCGACGACCGGGGCTCCGACTCCTCCAACGCGAGGCTTCGGCTCGTGGCTTCACGGCTCCCGAGCGCAGGCGCGGTGCTTCTTTCGGTTTTTCTACAAGCTCGCTGCGCGCCTGCGAGACCACGAGCGGGCGTGCCAGCTCAGCTCGGCTCCGACGTAGAGCCGTGAGACCACAAGCTAAGGTCATGCGTTGTACATGGCATTAGGGAATGGTTGTTCTAACCCAACTAATAATATATATGCATGTATTGCACCTACATAGATTACTTGCCAAAAATTTTAGGTAGATACCCCATGTCCTATGTCCTATGGTAGATCCGCCCAAATCAACATATACTATCCATTAGTATTTATATTGCCAACCGTTTATTGATTTTCGATGGTATCATGATTCGTGTGTTTGTTGCGTTGAGGATATAATAATATGAATTATACAGTAGAGAAGTTAATTAAGGTGTTAATATTATATAATACTTTCTCCGTTTCATATTATAAGACTTTCTAGCATTGCCTATATTCATATAGATATTAATAAATTTAGACACATATTTGTTACACAAAATACTCCGTAGCATAATAGTTCCTACTATAAATGAAACTTTTAATTGGCCCTTCCCATTTCTTGTTTAAGCTAGCTCCACTACTGGTCCATTGCTACAAGTGGCAGGGTCTTTTTGAATTTCACGTTCTTTTTTGAATCGTAGGAACTTTCCTCCTTTTTGTGTATGAGAATTGTTCCATTTCTTGTTAAATTTTCATAAAATACATACAAAACTACTATATATACGTATGCAGTATGCACTCAGCTTGATGAAATCATAGAAAACATGAGCGTGGAAGCCGTGGATTGGAGTTCTGGCTTTTTTTTTTGGGTGGGTGGGGCGCCCCGGGGGGGAGGGGGGGGGATAATCCACTTGCACAGACATGTACACGTAGACATAGAGTCAGCCGATCCAATCCACAATAATGACTGCATGGCGTGCATGCCTATCGATCTGTGATCTGTCCCGTAGCTGATCACCAACCCACAGTCATGGGTTGCATGCAAATATGGCAACATGGATGACTAGCTGAAGAGACAATTTGCCAACGATCAAGAAGAAAACGAAGAGGATAAGCAAGGTAGGATCGAGACTGTATGCGCCAGCGGCCAGCTCAAAAGCATATCGGTAGCTGGTTGGTGGGAGGCTGGGAGCTGGAAAACTCGTCGATCCTCCCTGTGAAACAAATTACACGCAACTCGATCAGAAAGTTCAGAACACCTTCAACTGGTGAAAGCGAAGGCAGTAGTATAACCGTGAAAGAGATATACTCTGTCCCGTCCCAAAAAAGTAGTATAGCTTTTTTATACGGTAGATTATTTAGTACTACTATGGCTATCCTACCATTTTCAAAGCCACTCTTTCTAAGCCACCTAAGATCAGATACAATAGCAAACTATTAGCTAGCTGTAAACATATTTTAATAAGATAAAATATGAGATAGAAAAACAACGGGCTATAGATCTGTAGCCAGCTGCAGTACGAACTCCAAGACGCAGTGTGTTTGACAGATGAGACCATATATTAATAGTATAGTAAGTAACTATTGTATGAATTGGCTATAGATGAATTGGAGCTAGTAGTGGGCTACTATTAACCTTGCTCTAAAGGAATGAAAGGTATTATGATCTTTTCATCCATATTCCTTAATCTTTGCAACACAAAAGAAATAGTACAATTTAAGATGTGAGTTTATATTTACTATGTTCTATAAAGAAGTAATACAAATGTGAAGAATAAATATATTTACTACGTTCTGGAAAAGAAATTTATTTTTTTACGTAAAGAAATTTATTTGTTAAGTATAAAAATGGTCAATAGCAGTCCCACCTTTTTTAGCTTATTCATTGGATATTGTTACTACTATTTCTCAAAAACTTTCTTCTATGAAATTATTTAGACCACAAAGTTCTAATTAAGCTGGAGTATATGTTAAATTTATTTTTAAATATTTAATTTATTATTTAATCAAGTTGAGAACTCATAACAGTAATCTAATATAATCAATAATTTGTTTCAGGCGCCCGTTTGGGCTCAGTGGCTCACACAGTCACGCTGACACGCTTCACCACTTGATATGCAATTTTAGGTGAAGTCTGAAGAGATTATTTAGAGCAGATACAATAATAAGCTATAAACTAGTTATAATCACATATCGAGAAAATAAAATAGAAGAGAAAGAAACAGCGGGCTACAAATCTATAGCCAGCTGTCGCACAGATTCCAAGACACAATGTGTGTATTACAGGTAGGACCATATGTGTGATATCCCGGCTCAGAGTTTAATAGGATTAATAGAATACTCATATTAATTTCTTTTTCGGAAGCCGATCTCCAAAGAACTCCAGGGCTAAGCGTGCTTAGCCTGAAGCAATTTGGGATGGGTGACCGACCGGAAAATTCTTTCCGGGTGCGCACGAGTGAGGACAAAGTGTGCAGAAAAGACATGTGTTGGTCTGTGAGGGCAGTCTATGACCTTTAAAAGCTATCAGATATAAGTAGTCGCGGTTTCACGAGCGCGTGTGTCGCAGTGGCGCAGGCATGGTGCGCACGGCTGGTGTGGACCCGGAGTGGTCACACAACATGGCACATGCGCTGGTACTGGACACATGGACGTGGCCAAGAGGTAAGGGGTTGAGGATATGACATCCCGGCTCAGAGGTTAATGGGATTAATAGAATACTCATATCAACAAGTTGCAACTTCTTTTCCGGAAGCCGATCTCCAAAGAACTCCAGGGTTAAGCGTGCTTGGCCTGAAGCAATTTAGGAAATTCTTCCCGGGTGCACACGAGTGAGGACAAAGTGTGCAAAAAAGACATCAGATGTTAGTGGGCCCGGCATGAGAGAGGCAGAATGTTCCAATATGTTAATAGTGTAGTATATATTTGTAGATAACTATTATATAAATTGGTTATTAAATTGACTATATATGATTTGGAGCCAATAGTTGACTATACTATTAAACTTGCTCTTATTATGCTAGTTACTCCCTCGCTCCCTCCGTCTTTAACATATAGCCATTTTTAACATATACCATTTTTTAATGTTTAAAGTTTGTCTTAAAATATAGTAACTTTTTACCTATTTTTCTTTATCTCACCAATCACGACCATCTCTTCTTATTTAATTTGTTTCATCTATTTTTTTATTTCAAACAACAACAATAACACCACTCCGGCACTCCTTCCTCCACAATTCCCATTAAAAACTCTAGAGAGAGGTATATTACTTGCTACCTCCATTCAAAATATATCTAGTTTTAACTATGCATATTGGAAACTTTTAGCTGATGTAACTTTTTTTAAAATCAGTAGCTCCCTAAACAATTCAGTTTTTAGTCTAGATTATGAGAAATTGTAATTGTAGAATTCAGAAAACAAACTAAAAGCCAGAAACCTAATCTTTTTAGATTTTTAGAAACTGGCTATCAACCAATTATTTTATATTTTAAGATGAAGATAATATTTTTTAAGAGCCGTACCAACGGCCACCGTCAGAGCCGTGAGCCGACGCCTTCCTCCCGGATTACCCATCACGCGTGCAGCGCAAAGTCGTACCAACCGCAGCTACAGCCCTCTCACTGACTCGCGGGCCCAGAGGTGGTCCGGCCGTCCACACCCCTCGCCCGTCGCTGTGCTGTCCATATATACGGAAAAGGTTGCTACCGTTTAGGCAAAATTGGTTATATAGCATTGAAAGTTCACGTTTTTATTTTATAGCATCGAAAGTTACCGGTTCACTTTAATAGCATCTAAAGTTCACCCTATTCCCATTTTTAGGACTTCCGTCATTTTTTCCGTCCGTCTTGATCGTTATTGATCCAGCCACACACATGATATGACATTTCTACCCCTCATTGATATGCATTATATTTGTACTTGTGAGGGGTAGAAACGTCATATCGTGTGTGTGGCTGGATCAAGACGGACGGAAAACGATCGAGAATTGACGAAAGTATTAAAAATGGGAACATGGTGAACTTTAGGTGCTATTAAAATGAACCGGTAACTTTCGATGCTATAAAACTAAAAACGTGAACTTTCGATGCTATATAACCAATTTTGCCCACAAGTTATTGGTATTCGTGATAGTACTATGGTACTCTCCACTCCGTATCGATCGATAGCCCCGTGACGTCAAACGTCGTTCGTTGTAATCTTGCATCGCCACCAACAAATCCTGACACGTACAACGCGAGACCGGAACACCACAAACGGCCGCCGCCCCGTCCGAGAGTAGTTTAAAACACACACACACTCGCGAAGCTGTTTCCGTGAAACGACTCGTGTATATCTCTCCTCACCTTGGCGCGCCAACGGTTGGTTACGAACGAGGACGAGCTGAGCCTGAGACGCGCGCTTCCCGTTCGCACAGCCGCACAGGTCTCTTGCATGGCTGCTGCTGCTGCTGCTGCGTCGTCCGCGAAGCGCGCGCTCCTCCCGTGGGCACGCGACGCCCACCACGCGCTGGCCAGGGCCCTGCAGGGATGCGGCGGCGGCGGCGGCCTCGGTCTCCGCGGGGCGCTCCCGACGGTACGTGTGATTACCCGCACTTTTTCAGTGGTTCGGATCCCACTCGCTCTGCTTAGTTTCTCTTCGACTCGTGGTGGGTTGCGCGCGCGTTCTGTCCGATCGAGATGGTTTCTGTGTTGATGCGATCGGTTGGGGCTCACGGTAGGGGCCTTGTGGATGTGCAGGCCGGAGGCAGGTGGTCTCTGCTCCAGTGCCGGTGGAGGTCGTCGCTGCCGCAGCTCGACTCCGCCGACAGGTGAGCCCCCTACTCATGCATGCAGATTCTACTCTTCCGGTCTCCGTTGAACGAGATTTTTGTTCTTTTCACGTCCGCTTCGGATTTAGTGTTGTTTATGCCATTGCCGCCGGGGCGTGTACGAGTGTGCGTGCAGGTCCGATGAGGAAAGCGGCGGCGAAATCGACTGGGACAACCTGGGGTTCGGGCTGACGCCGACCGACTACATGTACGTCATGCGGTGCTCGCTGGAGGACGGCGTCTTCTCCCGCGGCGAGCTCAGCCGCTACGGCAACATCGAGCTCAGCCCCTCCTCCGGCGTCATCAACTACGGCCAGGTCTGTCACGTTCTCCAGTCCACACACATGTCCATGCAACGAAACGTCGATCCAGGCGACCGGACTAACAAGTGAACGAGGGTGATGGCTGCGTGCGTACGTACGTATGTGCTCGATGATCAGGGGCTCTTCGAGGGTCTGAAGGCGTACAGGGCGGCGAACCAACAGGGGTCGTACATGCTGTTCCGGCCGGAGGAGAACGCGCGGCGGATGCAGCACGGCGCCGAGCGCATGTGCATGCCGTCGCCGTCGGTGGAGCAGTTCGTCCACGCCGTCAAGCAGACCGTCCTCGCCAACCGCCGCTGGGTACGTAAGCGCGTACGACGAACGTAACACGACCGTCAATTAATTCTCGCACGCCATCTCGATGAATTCCCCGTGGTAATTCGGTCGCGTTGCGTGGTTTTTCTATCAGGTGCCACCGCAAGGAAAGGGGGCGCTGTACATCAGGCCGCTGCTCATCGGGAGCGGACCGATTCTCGGGCTGGCTCCCGCCCCGGAGTACACGTTCCTCATCTACGCCGCACCGGTTGGAACGTACTTCAAGGTGAGCACAAAACTCGGTCATTAGCTCGGTCGTCTTTCTGAACGCTGCAGCAGCTAGCAAAAATCTGAATATTTTGGACTCGATGGATGGATCGGTTTCAGGAGGGTCTAGCGCCGATAAACCTTGTCGTAGAGGACTCGATACACCGGGCCATGCCGGGCGGCACCGGCGGGGTCAAGACGATCACCAACTACGCGCCGGTAAACAAAAGATACCATATCCACTACTTCCGTCCCAAAATATTATAACCTAAAACAATAAATATAGAGAGTAGTTATGTCCAGATTCGTTGTTCTATAATAGCATCCATATTAAAATAATAAATCTGGACAGTGGTTATGTCTAAATTCGTTGATCTATAATGGTATCCATACTAAAACAATAAATCTGACGGCTAGAGGTTATGTTCAGATTCTTTGGTTTGGAATGGGATCCATACTAAGTAACAATATTTTGGATGGAGGAATTAATATCTATTACATCTAAATGTGTTCAGGTGCTCAAGGCGCAGATGGACGCCAAGAGCAGAGGGTTCACTGACGTGCTGTACCTCGACGCGGTGCACAAGACGTACCTGGAGGAGGCCTCCTCCTGCAACCTCTTCATCGTCAAGGACGGCGTCGTCGCCACGCCGGCCACCGTGGGAACCATCCTGCCGGGGATCACGCGCAAGAGCGTCATCGAGCTCGCCAGGGACCGCGGCTATCAGGTGACCAATCAATCTACGCAGAGCACTGCATCCATCAGTGATTTGGCGACAGCACATCTGAATTAATTCTGAAAATTTTCCGTGTAATTATTTTGAGTATTCGCGAAAAAAAAATTAATTCTGAAATCGTTGTGATCTCTTTGGCCAAGCAGGTTGAAGAACGGCTCGTCTCCATCGACGATCTGGTCGGCGCAGACGAGGTGTTCTGCACCGGAACAGCGGTGGTCGTTGCCCCAGTATCGAGTGTTACTTACCATGGGCAAAGGTAAAATCTGCGAGTCGATCGTTCACGACAGGATCGATCTGAATTCTGAATCCCGCAAATCTCTGACGATTTTGTATCGGTTTCTTGGGCGCGTGTGCAGGTACGAGTTCAGGACTGGACATGACACGTTATCGCAGACACTGCACACGACTCTGACGTCCATCCAGATGGGCCTGGCTGAGGACAAGAAAGGATGGACAGTGGCAATAGATTAAGGATGGATTATGGGCAAAGGGATCCCGATTATTCCTCATGTCATCCAATGTAGATTATTGTCGTTTTATATATCTTCCTGTAGCGACAGTGATCACAGCGCAAGTGGAATTTGGACGAACAGGAAGCAAATGCAGATCATCTTACTGCGTAATCTCTGTGTGGCCAATAAAATCTTGTCATTGCCAAATCTTTGAGATAACTGAATAGTACGCTAATGAACAAATGCATAATTCCGAGTCACTCAGTCATCTAGGCACGCGAACGGTGAATGCAATTATGCACAAAGCCGATTGAAGGCAACTGTTTTGATGTACAACGTTTACAATTAATTTTAAGTTGTGACAGCCTTGACGTCGTTGTTCCTTTCCCAATCCATAAACATCAGATGTTGATTTCTCCTAATGTACTTTCACGCACGCGTGAAGCAAGTAGCAGCAGGACAGCCGCAGCTAGCAGTTCACAGTGGCAACGAAAGGGAAGTGGCCAAATTTGCCACTCTAGCTGCAGTGACACGAAACGGAAGTACACGCCGATTTTGACACGAGGTTAAGTGGTCGTTTTCTTGGACGACCTCCACGTGGGTATGCTAATCCAAATATCCAAATACCCACCGGCGCTTAATTACTGCATGTATGTGTACGTCATATCGCCTGTGCATGCATTTAGACGTTTGAAGGGAAGAGTTCGATGCCGAAACAAACACGGTACTTCTGTTCCTTTTTCTGCTTCCAGCAGCTCCGAGATCAGGGGACACAAACGGCATGATCGATGCAGGATAGCATTGATATGCGTTATCCGGATCTGGCTAAGAGCAGGTAAAATAGCATGCTATTAGCCAGTTATAAACATATATTTTAATGAGATAAACGATGAGAGAGAAGAGCAGTAGGCTACAGATTTGTAGCCAGTTGCAGCACGTACTCCAAGACGCAACATGTATGATAGGTGAAACTATATATTAATAGTATAGTAAGCAACTATTGTATAAATTAGCTATTAAATTAGCTATAGATGAATTGAAGTCAGTAGTAGGCTATACTATTGAACCTGCTCTAAAGAGCTTCCAGAGGCTCACTAGTCTTGTCCTTACTAGTAGGAGTTCATACGTCAGGTTTGGAGGTGTGCTCTAGATTTCTGGTCAACCTGTCCAGGTGGTTGTCCTACTACTATATCTTTTCCTTGAATGATTTTGCTTCTTTAGTTGCATACAAGATTTTTTGTTTCTTTGTACAACTAGAGTCTCGATTAAGAGTCCGCTTAGGAGAGCTTTTAACAGCTATAATTTTTTCAGAATTAAAATATTTTCGCAAACAGTCCATCATATTCTCTAAGACGATATAGGTACACAATTAAATAAAAAACAGAAGTCAAAAGTTGGGTTTTACCGTTTCTCTATATTCTCTTAAGATGGCTAACAAACAGCTACTTAAAATCTTAAGGTCTTCAAATAAGACATAACAAAGGTAACGGATTTTCAGTTTTTCAACAAAACAAGCAGCTTAAAAGAAGATTTCGGTGATCGTGGATTACTTGCAAGGACGAAAGCGACTAGTTTAGGGGGTGTTTGGGAGTAGTCCCTCTTCTAAAAAATAAGTCCCTAGGGTAAAGATTTAATTTTTTTTTGGAGAGACTCCCAAACACCCCCTTAAAGCAGGTACAATAGCAGGCTATAAGCCAGCTGCAAATATTTTTTTAAGGAGATAAATAAGGAGAGAGAAGAGTAGCGGGCTACAGATTTGTAGCCAGCTGTAGCACGAACTTCAAGACGCGGTGTGAGTATGACAGGTGGGACTAGGTATTAATAGTGTAGTATGTAACTATTATATGAATGAGCTATTAGATTGGCTATAGATGAATTGGAGCTAGTAGTTGGCTATACTATTGAACTTGCTCTTAGATTTCCCAGCCAGCCTAAGCCTACAGGGCTTTACAGATCAAACACTATTCTGGTCCATGGAATTCAGTAGGGTAAAGCACTGTTCGAATTAGTGGTTGAGTTGAGCTTTTCAGCGGCACACGAGATGAGATAAGTCATTAACACATAATTATTTATGATTAACTATTACAATTTTGAAAAAAAAAATCATTTATTTTTTTAAAAAAAACTTCTAGAAAGATTATTTTTTTCAAAAAAGCGTGGCATTTAGGAAGTGTGCCCATAAAAACAAGGAACTAGCTCATTCCAACGGTGCAGTAGAGACAAGCAGAGCACCTCAAATATTCTAAAAGAGATAATGAGCAAGACGCATTAGCAAGTTCAGAGGGATATACAACTTAGTATTGACAATCGATACACATCCCAATTTCCTATAGGAAGAACAGACTACTCTAATGAGCACACTCGACAGCTCAAAAGAACTAAAGAACAGCAAACACCATAGGCTAACATGGAGATTCTTACTCCATTGGAGGAGGGGCCCGGTAATATGCAGGGACTGTAGCAGGGAAGAACATTTGCCTCACACCTTCAGCTTTGATGATTGGGAAGATGATACCACATGCACCCTGCAGTGAAAATTCAGTTATGTAGAGAAAATGAAATCGTCTGCAGTTGTATGGATTTTGATGAGAAAATGTCAGAGAGGCTGCCACAAAGTTTTCTGTGTATAAATGACCGTGCATTTGAACTTTGAGGATGTTAAAAAAAGAAGAAGATTTGAGGAACTTACGGAAACCAGTCTCGCGCCGATCCACATGCGTTTAGGTGAAGGGACGGGGAGCATTAGGCGTCCAACGCCATAGATAGCAACAGCAAAGAAGTGGGCTACTAAACTCAGAGGCCGAGGATTGAGGCCAGAGAGAAGAGCAATAGGCCCATTTGAGAAGACTCCTCCAAGGCTCAAGTAATCAAAGCAAGCTTCTCGCATCTCATTCTTAGCCTGGTCAGTTGAGGCACAGAAGACCTTGTACAGAGCACCAGCCAGTGTGTTGATTGTAGAAGCAACAGGCTGAAAAGATAATAGCATTGTATTTACTAAAACCGTATACACATTCTGAGAAAACTAGGTGGTTAACTGTGACATGAAGAGTGAAGTCTGACCTTCCGCAGTGTATAGAACGATTCAAGGTACTTGCACAGGGAAGGTGCATCGTGCAGGTTGCCGAGAGGCTTGAGAAGATTGCGTAGGACAACAATGTCAGAAAACGCAACGGTCATTCCACCACCAGTTAAAGGATGTCGCATGTTGAATGCATCACCCATCAACAGCGCGCCAGGGGTTGGAAGTGGAGCAGCTGGCATACTCCTATTTGGCATTGTCCTTATGCTTCCTTTATCAATTGCTGCAATGAAAGAATCATGGAGTTCTGGAGGAATCTGAAAACATAACATTTCAATTAGCATCTAGTTGTGAAGAGTACACAATAATAATTACACTTGGTAGAGCAAAAATTAATACCTGAGGTGCAACCACAGTCTTGAGATATTTTGCCATTTCACCGGTTGCCATGGAAGGCACCTTCTGCCCAGGGATATCAACCAAACAACGAATCTCAGTGCTGCTTATCGGGTAACATAGGATAGGTGAAGGATTAGCCAGGATAACATGGCCATGGTTTGGGTGAGGAAGTTGACAATTCTCCAAAACCAACCCAACAAAACAGGATGGCACATCAACCTAAGCGCATGTATTTCCCATTAATATTAGTGAATTCAGTCAAGTCAAAAATAGTATTGGTGAATTCAGCAAGAAGCAAATCAGTATACTTTGAAAAATGTACCTTTGGAGAGCACAGGACACGCCGTAGGTTTGAGAAACAGCCATCGCATACAATTGTCAATGGTGCATAGGCCTTTAATTCTTCACCTGACTTTGTCTTGTATTGAACACCCTTAACCGTGCCACCTTCTTCGAGCAATGATGTAACGGTTCCTTGCTCCAAATGAACACTGAAAGCAGGTGTATTTTTTTTACATAAAAAGAGAGAATGAGTGGACAGCAAAAGCCCAAAGTAGTAAATTTTGCATAATCATAATCAAGTATGTAAATCCAATAGATCCGTCTAGAGTATATCATTCTGGAGGTGTAGATAATCAAGAAATTGACACAATCAAATGTATTAATCCAGTAGAGTAATATAAACAAATGGAATGTTCACATGGCATTATTCAGAAGAACTATATAAATATATGATTTTTCAATAAAATAAACTTGCATGCGCAAAAGTTATTACTTAGGCAAAGATGCAGCTTTTTGACGCATCTTCTGTATAAACCGTCCATTGTGAAAGCTCCTACCAGCAACATCTGAATGGAACTTCTCCAAGGGATAAGAAAGCTTTGTGTTTCTCCCATCTTTCAACAATGCGTAACCAAGGACACGCTGAGCATCGATTTCTTCAACACAATCTGAATAAAATCAAAGGACATTAAGTACAAAGTACTGACGATGCTTTTCGAAAAATGCCACTCTTACCCTCAAGACCCAGCTCCATCAATTTCAAATAGCCACCAGGCTGTAGCAGTTCACCAACAATTCTATCAGGCTCCGTCATGTCCCGCTCTATAACATGCACTCGTCGCCCATCCTAATTCAACAAACGAAACCAGGAATATTAGATTTTCTTTTTCAGGATATTTCTGTTTTTACCACAATGCATCGCTTGATGGTAACGAGATACATGACTGCATTTTTACTATTGAGTGTTCTGTTGTCGGATAACATGAATGATACTAGTACAATAGAAGTGATTCATTCTACCAAATACAAAAGACACTATGGTATCTCAATGTGTTTGTATCAATAGCAATTTTGACTCTTCACGTTCTACAAGACATTATTTTCACCGTACAGGTTACTAAAATTATAGTACGAAAGTATTTTAAGTGAGAAATAGAGTGAAATGGAACTAGTACAGTTCCATGGTCAATCTAGGTGGTTTTAAGGAAGATGATGGTAAAACTCTTGATGATTAGAAATTTGCACTAATCCTAAAACATAGTATTGTTAAAAAAAACCTGGCGCTTTGGTAATTTTACTCCTAAGTGAAAAGTGTACATAAACTGCATCTCGTACTGAACATAAGTACATAACACCAGCTATTGTTGGCCCGGTTTAAAGAAAAAAAACCCAGATGTATTACTTTTAGAAAAAACAAATAAAACATTTTCGTATCAATGGTGCATTGGTGCGCCACTTACAAGTTGGTGGTAGACTGGTACTAGTAGTAGTTACGAAAGCAAAATTCCAGCCTAAAAAGATACGAACGATTCGCCTCAACCAAATGCGAGTACGTCAACAAACGAGTGAGAGACAAAAATGTAGCCACCTTTCCGAGCGTGTAGGCGAGCGCAGATCCGGCGACCCCGGCACCAACAATGACGATGTCCGTCCGGTCACCCCCATCGCCGCCAACAACCCGGCAGCCACCCTCCGGCGCGACCTCCCGTTGGCGGCGGCGGCGCCGCCACCCCATCTTCACTGCGACGAGGAAGGCCGCCGTGAGGAGCGTGGCCGCGGCGAGGCCAACGAGCTGCCCGGCGCCGGCGACCGCATCCATTTCTTGCTGCTCTGCGTGCGTACGTACGTGGGTGGGTGGAAGCTTAGAGAAGTGCAAGCGAGGTGACGGGAGACTACGTTTTATGGGAGAAGAAGTGAGCTGAAAAAAGGCCGGACCGCCGCTGATTAGCAGCTGGCAATGGCATCGTCAGCTTTCGCTGGCGTGGCTCGTGTTGGCAGAGCTGGAGCTGCTTTGCGCAACAGGAGTCAACGTGATTCAGCGAGCAAACGGTAGCCGTCCATCTCGCCCCCGCCACACGAATCTCGAGGCCGGAAAACCATGTCCGGCTCCCAGTTTTACAGGCTGTGGCCATTGCATTACCACCTCTTCTTCTGCCGCTACAGTCCGAGATCCCCAGGCACGGATCTTGGCGCTTAATGAAGTGATAATTTTTACTGGTTATTAGTAGGTGGCAGTCTGGCAGACATGCCCCTTGGCCCTTGCCATATGACTACTACTTGCAGGAATTGTTCGTCGGATGAAAGAATGCCATGAATATCATAGATACCATGGCTTTATTTAGTGCTGTGGACCAAGCAACTTTGCATAAAAGAAACAGTAGCAGACAGAACAGACAGGAGGAGCAAAGACTGGCAATCGCCGTCGCCGGAAGCCAAACAGAAGATGAAAATATTAAATGGTACAGATCGCAGATCGTGGGCCTCTTGGCATGTTGGACCATAGCCATTCACAGTGCTCCGACGTGTCATTCGGCCATCGCTCGACACGTCGGAGATTCGCAGCCAGCTAGGCGTCACGCGCGACCAAACCAAGTCCGCGGAGCATACTTTGGCCACCCGTTCTTCTGCAACTATCTGACAACTCGAGGGCGCGCGGCGTGGGGGAGAACGGCGCGGCCGCGTTGTGGAGGTCGTGGCCTCGCCCTTCCTCCCACGACCCCCTTCGCGGGGAGCTCGAGCAGGAGCCCAGCGGCGGCGGCGCAGCCATGGAGGTAGTCTTACCAGGTAAACCGGCGAATGACGGCGATGACGACCACGACTTCACCCATCCCGATCTGCGCCCCCTTCGGGAGTTCGCCGGCCGTCTCGATCCGTGGCGCCGGGAGCTCGCCGGCAGTCTCGATCCGTGTCGCTGTGAGCTCGCCGGCCGCCTCGATCTCACCCATCCCCATCTCTACGTCCTCCGGGATCTCGTCGGCCCTGTCCCACCTCGATTTGCGCCGCCTGGAGGAGGAGGAGGAGGAGGAGAGGAAGCAGCAGTAGCACGGGATCGATCTGAAGAAGCGGCGGAGGAGAAGGAGCAGCGGCACGGGAGAGAGAAGGAGCAGCGCACGTACGGGAGATTGATCGATTTGCTCGGGGAGAGAGATGGGTGGGGAAAGGTATTCCCGTGGTGGGCCCAGCGTGAGAAAAAAAAATCTGTTATGGACCCCACCCAAAGCTACACGCACTGGGGAGACAGGAGCTTCGTCTGTTTTTTGCCTATGTGGAGGCTGGGCTTCTCGCTGAGACGGTGGCGCATTGCTAATGCCCTAATGATGTTGTTTACTAGCAAACACAGTTGTATCAATCAATCACACACAGGAGTCCTACCCAATGGAATTCAGTGGATTAGCAACGCACCCAGTTAGAGCAAAGACGCAATCATGATGAATTCATGGGGGATATACAGCTTAAGGATTAGCAGTCGACATGCATCCCTGACGGAACAACGAAAGTGGCAAGTGTACAGGGAATGTGACGGTGTATACAGGTCCCCTCGTTCCATTAGAACAACAGCACACACAACCTCACGGCCTGACGACTACTACCAATTACACAGGAAAATTGCCATCCACGAAAAACATCCGCCGATCAGGACAGTGGCAGGGATTTTCTCTTCGCTTCTCCTTTCATTTTCCCCCCTTACTCCATTGGACGAGGAGCACGATAATAGGCAGGGACAGTGGCGGGGAAGAACATATGCCTCACACCTTCAGCTTTGATGATGGGGAAAATTATACCACATGCACTCTGCAGTGAAAACTCTGGATTAGCAATAGTATAGAAACGGGAAAAAAAAGTCTATTTAGGGTTTAGCGTTTAGGGTTTAGGATAGGGAATGAAAAAATTGTATAGAAAACTGTCCATGAATGGTACCACGATGGAAATAGTAAAGTTTGAAAACTTTGAAGAATAAGATTTGAGATACTCACGGAAATCAGTCTTACGCCGATCCACATGCGTTTAGGTGAAGGGAGGGGAAGCATTAGGCGACCGACACCATAGATAGCGACAGCAAAGAAATGTGCCACTAAACTCAATGGTCGAGGATTCAGACCAGACAGAAGAGCAATAGGCCCATTTGAAAAGACACCTCCAAGGCTCAAGTAATCAAAGCAGGCTTGGCGCATCTCATTCCTAGCCTGATCAGGTGAGGCACTGAAAACCTTGTATAGAGCACCAGCTAATGTGTTTATGGTAGAAGCAACCGGCTGTGAACATGAAAGCGCCATACATTAGACAGCATACATTTTGAAAGGTGGGTGGTAAATTGTGAAATGAAGAGTGAAGACTAACCTTCCGCAGTGTATAGAATGATTCAAGGTATTTGCAAAGAGCAGATGCATCATGCAGATTGCGGAGAGGCTTGAGAAGATTACGTAGCACAACAATGTCAGATAATGCAACAGTCATTCCGCCACCAGTCAAAGGATGCCGCATGTTGAATGCATCACCCATCAAAAGTGCACCAGGGGTTGGATGTGGAGCAGCCGGCATGCTCCTGTTTGGCATTGTTCTTATGCTTCCCTTATCAATGGCTGCTATGAATGAATCATAGATTTCTGGAGGAATCTGTCAACAGAACATTTCCATTGACATTTAGTTGCTATGAGTAGGCAAGCAAAAACTCGGGACAAGACTGACTGAAATAGCAAAATAATACCTGAGGTGCAACCACTGTTTTGAGATATTTTGCCATTTCACCGTTTGCTATGGAAGGCACCTTCTGACCAGGGACATCAACCAAACAGCGAACTTCAGTGCTGCTTATTGGGTAAAATAGGATAGGTGAAGGATTGGCCAGGACAACATGGCCATGGTTTGCATGAGGAAGTTGACAATTCTCCAGGACCAGCCCAACAAAACAAGATGGTACATCAACCTAACCACATATTTCCATCAGTATTAGATCTTCTACATGCATGAACAAAAAAGGATAGTGCAAAATCTAAAAACTGTACCTTTGGAGAGCAAAGGGCGCGGCGAAGGTTTGAGAAACAGCCATCGCATACAATTGTCAGAGGTGCATATGCTTTTAATTCTTCACCTGACTTGGTCTTGTATTTAACACCCTTAACTGTACCATCTTCTTCAACCAATGATGTAACAGTTCCTTGCTCCAATTGAACACTGAAATATAAAACATAATGCCAAACATTTACCTCATGTCACATGCAGGTGCACGAATTAGATACATCCAGATACGGCGCATGTAGAAGGAAAGAACATGTGAAATACATCATTCTGGACGAGTAGCAAAATAAGCACTTAAACATAATCTAATATTTTAATCCTCTAGAGGCAACTAAAATACTAATGAAATGCTCACATCAAACAATACAAGAAAATCATAAAAATAAGTATGTCAAAAATTCTAGTAAAGATAAATTTGTGTCGAGAAAGACTATTACTTAGGCAAAGATGCAGCTTTCTGGCGCATCCTCTGTATAAACCGTCCATTGTGAAAGCTCCTACCAGCAACATCTGAGTGGAACTTCTCCAAGGGATAGGAGAGTTTTGTGTCTTTCCCATCTTTGAATAACGCGTAACCAAGGACACGCTGAGCATCTATTTCTTGAACACAATCTGAATATAGTTAAAGATTTAGTCCACTGTACCACTAATACTATAAGAAATATGCGCGCGCGCGTGCACATACACACATACATAGAGAGATAAGGGGGAAGCTTACCCTCGAGACCCAACTCGATCAATTTCAGGTAGCCACCAGGTTGTAACAGTTCACCGACAATTCTATCAGGCTCTGTTAGGTCTCTCTCTATAACATGCACACGACGGCCATCCTAAGTCACAAAAAGAAAAAAAAAGCGATAAGAGAAATCTCAGGGATAATTGTTTCACTGTAATTCATCATTTGATCATAATGAGCCATTGAATTGCCTTAATATCAATAAGTTTTTATTAGAGAGCAAAAATGATACAGTAGAGGTGCTTTTAACAAATACAGAAGCACTAGGTGACTAACGGAACATCGCAACCCACAAAACTACAAACATTAGAATCTCAGTATAAAATCATGTATTAATCGATAAGTCTCTGAATAACAAGGGCAAATTGTGATCATATCAATACAAAATAATATTATTGAAAGTAATTTTAAGGTGAAATGCAGTGAATTCATATGGCAATGGGCAACCTAGGTGTTTTTAAGCATATTGATTGTCAGCTTTTGGAAGTTTGTGCAGACTCAAAAATATAATACATCCGATGATTATTTTTATAGGGGATGCTTTTTTTGAAAAGTTTATTAAACTTTAGCAATTGATTTATCATAAAATATATTCTTCAAACTATAAAACCGACATTTTGTGAGAGCACGTTGAAATGCGAGCCAATTTGTATAATTTTTATACACTAAATGTACTTGTAAATTGACTATGGTCAATATGTATATATTTTGACCTTTTTTAAAATTAAAACAGCCCTTGTTAAAATCATCATTGGGAGTATCATTTACAAAGAACAAACGTGCTAGGTATAGTATCCCCTCCATTGAATGGTTGATGGTAATACAAACATTTAGTTCTAATGACATTGTCAACCATGCCTCCACTGTTCTCACTATCCTTTGTGTGTATACAATTTACGCTCACACAAAGTGTTCTCACTCATATTTCAAAAGCAGTCATGGGGTGAGTTAGTCATTTTCTCCTGGACCTATCTCAATTTTACCACCTCCTAAGTTTGCGCAAAGTCAAGAACTCAAGATATGCCCAAGCAGTATCAGTTTTTCTATCAAGAAGGTGTCACTCTCATAGTTGCTGGGAGTTGGGAAAATAAATTGGGTCATTGATTTAGTTGGGCATTCCATTGTGTCAAGATAGAGCACATAAATGCTCTGTTGATGCAGATAGAAAGGAGCATGATAAAGAATAGAAAACCAGAGAAGGGAACACAAGTGACTCTTTGCTTCTATATAAGAAAAGATATAGTAATGGAGTTACAGTAGTTCCAGACTAGAAGATAAACTGTATACAGTCGGAATTATATTGGACATGCTCTATACAACTTGTTTGAGAAAAACTTTTCGGTTTGAGTTAATTTATATTGTTATTACTGCAGTAAAAGATTTGCATCACCAATCAACAAAATCTGTTTTGCTATAACCAAAATTGTATTGGTTTTATAGAACACCTGAGATTCATCTTTTATTTTTATTCAAATCATGTATTAACTCTCCTCTTGGTTGTCACTTTCTGTCCCTTTTCTGCTGCATCCAGATGACTTGTGGTCACCGGCCACGGCCAGTATGGAGTACTGCAGATGGAAAAGAGAGATTTCTCATCACAGTTACAAGACATGCGATTTTTTGCACACCAACATTTATTGGCCACACAAATTTCATGTCCACAAAAAAGGAAGAGACCAACAGACTTCGCTTTCTACCGGCACGCTAGAACATGCAAAAATATTGATCAAAACAAGAAATTGCATGAAATCACAATTAATTCATACACGAATCTAGTCTTCTTGGATTAAGACATCAGCTGCCTTTCCAGAAATAAATCAAAGCTCGACGCATGCATAAACAGGGGTTGGCAATTTGTACTTAAGACTCTGCTTCAGGATAGAAAAATTCGTCCTTGCGCCTAACTTACCGGAAAAAAAATATTCAATCTTGCAGTGTTCTTCAATCTTTTTTTTTTGAATCACCCTGTTCTCAACGAAGCGTAAGCAACAAATTTGCAGATTTAAAAAGAAGAAGAACCCATCTAAGTAGGCGAACTAAGTAGGCGAGAAGGAGTCACCTTTCCGAGCGTGTATGCCAGCGCAGATCCGGCGACCCCGGCTCCGACGACGATGACGTCGGTCCGGCCATCCCCGCCGCACCCTTCGCCGTCGGCCACCCCGCAGCCACCCACGGCCGCAGGCTTCCCTGCCAACGGCGCCCGCCGCCGGCGCCGGCGGCTGCCAAGAAGCGCGGCGGCGAGGAAGATCGCCGCGAGGAGCGTGGCCACGGCGACGCCAATGAGCTGCCCGGTGCCGGCGGCGACCTCCGCCATCCCGCACCAATAGTGGTGAGGCCTCCTCGGCCGCTCCGCGCGTGGTGGTGGGCTTCTCTGCTGCGGTCGTGGGGCGGCGCCGATGCGCGTCGCGGCGAGGCGGCGGCGGGCGAGAGGGGAGAAGGGAAGCAGCGGTGGTGGTGGTGGGAGGAGCAGGCGGAGACGGGCGGATGCTTCGAGATTGTTCCGATTTATCGGGAGCGGAGGGGAAGGAGGAAGAAGAGGAGGACTCCTCCCTCCGGTTTTCATAGCTGGCTCGGCTCGGCTCCTCCTCCGCATCGCTGGATTTTTCCCAACTCCCAAAAATACGATTTTGACGTCTCTTTTTTTGAGTTTTTTTTGTCTGTTTAGTTTCAAACAATTTTTTTTTGGCGCTATTACATTGAATGTTTGGACATATGCATTAAGTATTAAGTATCAAATGTAGAAAAAAAATCAATTACACAGTTCGCCATAAAATTGCGAGACGAATCTTTTAAGTCTAATTGTGTTATGATTTGACAATGTGATGCTACGGTAAATATTTGCTAATAACGAATTAATTAGACTTAATAAATTCGTCTCACAACTTTTTGGCGGAATCTGTAATTTATTTTATTATTAGACTACGTTTAATATTTTAAATGTGTGTCTGTATATTCGATGTAACATGTAGGGATAAAATTTTTTACAACTAAACAGGTCCAAATGGGCAAATTTTGTTTTGTTCTGGCGTTGCAACTTGTATTACAAGAGGTGGCCACGTCGTCATAGTCCGCGTCAAGGGTCCTGCCTAACAAATGAATTCATTTCATACGGTTGGTTTGTTCTGTAAACTTATCAGATATCTTCGTCTACAATATCTGGTGGCCGGGTTGTGATACTATTTTGTGGCACATAAAAATATACATATTTTATGATACACGTCGATTGGTAGGACTCGAAAAGAAATTTGATAATATATCACTCTCTATAGCAATCAAGGGTACCGTTGAACCGAGAGGGTATTAATGGAGTTGGCAGAAATTATTTGCAGTCATGATCAAAATAATGTATGTCAAAACTTATTGTGAGAAAATGATTCATGCTATGTGAATCACCACATATTGATCATCTCTATGATAAATAAAACATGTCACTTCAAATTATATGTCGACATAATCTTCAAAATCTACTAATATATCTCTTTGAAGTGAAACTAGATAGAGATTTTTACCTTGCAAAGAAAAAAAGGATCCATATTATAGAATGTCGCGAGAGATGAGTAGAGCCACGCAACCATAATGTCGATCAACTGCAGCATGCGCAAAATAAGATGAACGGATATCAACCATCATCTTAATTTTTCCAACACAACATCAAAACCAATATCACACAGAACAAGTCGACAACCTGTACTATAAAGTCGTATCGCCAATTTGATCATCGATAGCCCAACAAGCAATCCTTTATGTGTCTTCATCAATTACCGTGCAATCATTTCAAAAATTTTTATGGAATACTAATTCTAAAACCTCACTACACTGGCTGGAGGACACACGGAGAGCTAGACTAGAGTTGTGACGGAAGTTTTAGTGGACGATGATGATAAGGAACACAACGTAACCTTTGAAATTATCTTTTTTTTTTTCACTGCACCTTCATATTGTTAAATATCTACTTCATCCGTTTTAAAATATAAGACTTTCTAGCATTGCCCACATTCATATAGATGTATGTGTCTAAATTCATTAACATCTATATGAAAGTGGACAATGCTAAAAAGTCTTATAACCTGAAATAGAGATAGTATATGACTTGGTGATGTATACTATTAGGTTTTATTTTTTATTTATAACATTTTTCTAAATTGTTTGCGAGGAGCATGATACATACCTAGCACTCAACAAAATTTGTATTCTTTATAGGATATTGCCGTGTACTACCTCCTTTACTTTAAAATATAAGTTTTGTTTGGATTCAAAAAGTTAATATATTTTGAGTCGGATATATATATTTTTTTCAATCCACCAAACATAGTACTAACAATAATTTTGGAATTGTCTGAACATGAAAAACCCACGAAGTGGGTGTAAAACACACCGACAAAAACACATCCACTAGACTCGGAGTCCTATTGGTTGACGTAATAAAGCAAAACAAAAGTTAAAATTTGAATTTTTCGAATTTAATTTTGAAGTTGATTTTAGGATATTTTCAATACATATTTTTTCAGCGTTGGTTTTTAACTCGTTACAAATAAATATATAAAGATTTTACCAATAAATCAATTCTTATTTTCAAATAAATCATTTTGGCTTGCAAGGACGAGCCTCTCGTACTCTAAACCTTTGTGCCGTTGCACTGGTCCCCCTGTGGGACTGGGACCGGGTGATCTGTCACGCGATCTGACCGCACATACGCCCTCGCCGATCGCTAGCTGCCCCTCCCCTGCCTGCCGCTCTGTGCCAACTCACGTGCAGCGATCTGCCCGCAGCAGCAGCAGCGTCTCGCGCGCACCACACTATTCTCAGATTTGTTGTATGCTGCATGGCAACCAAACCCATCAAGGGCTCAAGCCCCGGCCGCACGTACACGAGGCACGAGAGTTCACCGACACGCTCGCGAATCCCCCGTTGTATGTTTTGGAGTAGTATTCCTACTTTTCTGTATGCGATGAGATATTTTAAAGTCTCATTGGTTGCTCACATTTACTAATAAACCAAAACAGTTTATCAGACAATAGTAATATTTAATTTATAGTATAAAATTTTTATATATGTGTTCTCAGCGACTAAAATTTTAATGTAAAAAAATACATTGAATTTTTTAAATCAATTTTTAATTTAATTTTAAAAATTTAAATTTTAGCTTCGGTTTTGTTCTGGTTTATTAGACTGGGGAGGTTAGTTTAGTGGGGTGGTTTGGTGAGATCAGATATGCCATGGGCCATGGGATCAGACGCCGCTGCCCATACCAGTACCACGGACCTCTGCAAGTTGCAAGAATGCTTCACCATATGAGGAGAACAATGATTGCTCGTATATGATCGTATCGATATTCTTTATTGATTTGTGGACCAAGCGGTAGTTTTGGTTGTTCTATCAGACCATCACTTGTGTAGCGTGATGGATTCTGTCACAGTAATTGGGTTTCATATTTGCTTATTAACGTACGATTTCACACATAATATTTTTTTCGGGTGGTTTCTGTACTCGCATGTTCCTCTTGTGTTAAGAAGTTCAGAGATGATGGATACTAGGCAAGATCAGTGTTTATTGCAAAACATAGCTTTAAGGTGGACCATATGTCAGTTGATCATAGTTGTTATAATTGCTACAGTGTTTAAGTTTTGTATGGGTAAGATCCATTTACAAATAAAAAAGACTTCAAATCAACCTTTTATTGAGTGGGGAGAGAACGAAGCAAAAGGAGAAGAGAGATTCTTATAGATACTTTTTTTATTCCCTTGAGGTTGCCCGTGAACTTATGGTTGTTTTTTTTCCCAGCTTATGTTCAGTGCCACAAATGGCTATGGTTCATCTTAAGAGCCTTAAGGTTACTCTTTCATAATATTATGGTTGGTCTAAATCATTAATGTAGCATACATTATATATTTTGATAAAATAAAGAAACCAAATAATTAAAATGGAAGATAATTTTGAAAAGGCATTGTTCTTTGCAAACCTGGCTTTGCTATCTTTCCTTAATTTGTTTACTAGCATTATTGTTGTGCTTTATTTAAATACGTGGTCGATAAACAGTGCTGTTTAAATAGAAATAACAAGAATAATTTTAGCCTGCAATTTAGTAATCGCGTACTACCGCATTTATTTGATGCGATCTGATGGTCACCTTTTTAAAATTAAGGACGAATCCACACATGTGCGTGCATCCTTGCAGGGGCCAATCATGTGCGCGCCTAGCTAGCTGTGCTACCTTCAACTCTTCAAGGCCAACATATATCTCAAATTCTTTATTAGCTACAGATCCATGATTCAAACAAAAATCATTAGCTCAAGGTGGGTTTGAAGACTGAGGTAGTGTTTGGTTGCAAGGATCGGATAGGATGAGATGGGGCGAACCCACTTTTAGAGGTGTTTGGTTTAGGGGTGGGTGGGATGGGTTGATCTCTGGAGAGGAATATTCCTCTAAGATCTGGGACCAACTGATCTCCAAAAAACTAGCGGACGAACTCGTCCCACCTGGGACGAGCGAACGGCGTCACCGCGCCATCCGCCACCTCTGCGAGCTCCGCCGCGCGTCTGCGAGCGTCATCGCCTCCCTGAGCGCCGCCGCCTCGTCCACGCCCGCCGCCACCTCCGCGCGTCCACGAGCGCCGCCGCCTCCTCCTCCTCCATGACCACTGCCGCCTCCACGAGCGCCGCCGCTTGTCCGCGAGCACCGCCACCTCCGCGAGCACTGCCGCCACTCCTCTCAGATCCGGGAGCCGCCTCGCCACCGCGCCCGCCGCCGCCTCCACGAGCGCCGCCACCTCCGTGAGCGCCACCACCACGAGCGCCGCCACCTCCGCGAGCACCGCCGGCGCTCCTCTCAGATCCGGGAGCCGCCTCGCCTCCGCACCCGCCGCCGCCTCCGTCTCGTCCACAACCGCCGCTTGTCTGCAACCGCCGCCACCTCCGCGAACGCCGCCGCCGCTGCTCCTCTCAGATCCGAGCACCGCCGAGCTACTCCGCCCCCAGACGGTACTAACGGTGAGTACAAATTCGTCCATCTCATCCCACCTCAATCCCTTCTACCAAACAGAAAACTATAACCATCCCATACCATAAACCAAACAGATAACTGGAATCATCCCATCCCGCAAAACTAGGATAGGTCTAACCCATCCCACTTTATCCCTAAACCAAACATTACCTAAAGGGATAGATGCAACTCTTTTCCGCAAGTAGACGAAAATGTATTCCCTCCATCCCATAGGACATGCTAGAATGGATATTACGTGTTCTAATAAAATAAATTTAAATATATCCAATACCATATTATATTTTATGTTGGTTTTTACACGAGGAAATGGGTACTATCTAAATTAACTAAGGAAGTTGTCTCATATCATTAAATGAAAAGCATGCCTTTAGTTTTGTTTACTATCAAAGTACTTTTGTTTTTTAAAAAACAATACAAATGCATATACTTATATACACATGCAAAATACGCACATCTTACCATGTGAACATCTTCGAGAGACTAAATCGATATAAAAGTCTTCATATTAACATGTACGTTATCCAGCACTAAAAATAATTAGTTTGTAAAGTCGAGTAACTGTAACACGCCATGCTTGCTCTGTCGTCCCAGATAAGGTACACTCCAAC